TGTATAATTCTACGTAATAATATAACGCAAAATAGTTCAAGTAATGCAAGTAATATGAGATAAAAAAAAAAAACAATTATTAATTTTTGAAAAAATTGATTTCGAAGGTTGAAAAAATACCAATTTTAGATCCTTATTTTATATAAAATAATTCAGTATACTTTTGCCAAACTAGAAAGTTATTTTTCCAGAAAAATAAAAAATAAAAATAAAAAAAGAAAGTTACTTTTCCAAATTTTATGAAATTTATCTTCTTTGATTTCTTCTGAGTCAATGGAAAATACAATCAAGTCAAGTTGAAATAATTATACACAATCAAGTCAAAAATGATACAAAGTACATACTATGTACTTGTATGTGATTGCATACCCTAATGAGAATTGTTTATCTTTATCAGTTGTTGTGAGGAATAATCCAAAATCAATCATCAAATTGTAATAAAAAACATAAACAAATAGCAAAAACCTTATATTATTAACAATTCAACTAGACATAATTAGAATAAATAGAGATTGATTAATTCAATTTCTTTATTACAAAGAGATATAATACCAAATTGAGACAAATACAAATTATAAATTATACTACTATAATAATTGAAAAACCCTTATGCAGTTTATATACGGAGTAATAAATACTAACATAAAATGAAATAGGTAAAAAAATAAGCCCAATAACAAAAAATCGTAGCTCACATAGTCACATAACATATAACGAGACCCTATAATAGCCATTTAAAAAAGCAAACATATTCAAGGCATATTCTAAAGTTTGGAACAAAAAACACATAAAAATTTGCAAGTTGTGATCTAGGCCAACAAAATCATTTAGTTCTACCTAGCTCTTAAGGATATAACATACTTTTTTTCCCCAAACATAATGAGAAGCTAATCTTTGTTGAGGTCCAAATTAAGGGGGCGTTTGGTTGGAAAATGGAAATGGAGTGGAAAGGAAACAAATAAGAGGGGGGAAATGAATCATTTAGCTATTACCTTTTCATTTGTTTGGTTTAACCATGGAAAGAGTATTTGTTAAGAGGAGGGTAAGAGTATTTGTTACCCCAAGTTTTTGAGAGGTAACAAATGAGAGGTAACCATTACCCTTAGGTAATGGTAATTGTTATCATGCCTTCAAACCAAACACACGGTAATGGTATCGGTTTAATCGAATCCGTTTTCAATCCAAAAGATACACTAACCAAACGTCTCCTAAAGGATATATCGAAGCACCCCTTTTTATTTAAATCATCTCATGCAATAGGGACAATTACATTAATCACTAGGATAAGATTTCTGCATTTCACTAATTGTAAAAAGCCAGACATTAAACGCAAAACGGAACCATGATAGAGTATAAAATATATTATTGGGCCTCAACCATTAGTTTAAGCTTTAGGTTGAGTTGGTCCTTTAACATAGTATCAAGAACCAACGTGATACAAAGGTCACATGGTATGAGGAGGCCCCATACTACATCCACTCTTCAAGCCCAACTGGCTCTTGTATGAGGGGGCGTGATAGAGTATAAAACATATTCTTGGACCTCAACCACCAACTTAAGCTTTTGATTGAGTTGGTTGTTTAACACAATGAACTAATGATAGTATGTCTAGTATGATGCCCTTCTCACCAATAAATGTCCAAATTTTACAAATCAACACTTACAATCCTATTCAATTTGTTTAATATCCTTTTCAATTTCTATCTATAATATAAGAAGTACGTAGTATTTTTTTTGAGAAAGAATTATGATATTTATTAGCATTAATGTGAATGAAGACTATGATGAAGTTGTGAAGTACTGTATGTACTGTATGACAAAAGTGTGAAAAAATAAACATAAGGACAAGACAGCGTGAATGAAGGCGAACGGTGCGATGTGATTTGGCTTAAACATGAATATAATGTTTTATTGTCTAATCTTTTAGTTAATTTCGGATCTCCCTTTCAAATTATGTTGTTAAGTATAATTTTTTTAAGTCAAACATGCATGTGGTACGTTAACTAGTCTATTATGCAGTCATCGTATTTGTTACGAGTAACAACTTTTGTTGGGACCCAATTCCTCTTTGGGAGTGGTTTAGCCTTTATAACACACTAATTTTTTTTCTTTTGTTTCTAACTCCTTGCTTCCGTCCTTTTTTATGTACCGATCGTCAATAGTTGGATAAAACTATAAAAATGTTTCAAGAGCAAACGTGACACAAAGATCACGAAGTCAATCTCATCCACCTTTTCTTTTAAAGCGTAATATTAAAAGCTGAGTATGGTGGACCCATACTACATCCACACTTCAACTCCAATGGGTTCTCATGTGAGGAGGTATAATAGAGTATATAATCCATGTAAAGGAGAATAATGACTAAATCATCATTATCATTATTAATTACTGTTTTTAGTTTATTGTGTAATCCCTTGATTTACTTATTTTGGTTGTTTGTCAAAGATTTCCCTATTTATTGTCTAATGTACCTAGACATATAATCTAATGTATCTAGTCATAGTATAATGTTTACTTTGTACTATAAATAGTCTTGTATACTCTTCAATATAATCAAGCTTTTCAACATTTTCTTTCTCATAACTCTATTAAACCGATTTTGGATTTCAACTATTACCTGTACCTAGACATATAATCTAATGTATCTAGTCATAGTATAATGTTTACTTATGTACTATAAATAGTCTTGTATACTCTTCAATATAATCAAGCTTTTCAACATTTTCTTTCTCATAACTCTATCAAACCGATTTTGGATTTCAACCATTACCTTAACCTTTTGGTTGAGTTGGTATAGGTATATCAAAAGTATATATTGTTAATTCCTCAATATTACTCTCATGATTATATTTTACACGGCCATATGAGTAAAAATAAAACTCTTCGATACACTTAAATTTAGTTTTGCATAAGACATGTAAGAATATTTGAAAACTCTTGCAAAAGGAGAGTAATCATATAACAAATGGAGGTTGTGGAGCTATTGAGGGGGTAGGATAGGAACAATGGATCGGATTCGGGTAGGGGGGAGCTTCCCCCGCATCCACCCGCTCCACCCGTTACCCACAAAACCCATCACCCGCATTCGATCCATCCGTCATCCGCGGATGAAACGAGTGGATCGGATGCTTAGCGGTGATTCCTATTCTAACTATTTAATACATTATATATTTATATTATAAAAAAATCTTTTAGCAAATTTTAAACTTGAATATTAAACCGTTAATTAGCTTCCAAAATCCCAAACTATAACAATAATCACAAAACCAATCATGAACTTGCGTGTTTCTTTAGCAAACTATAGCAATAATCTCAATTCAAAATCATGAATTACAACAATATTAGAATATAAAATCACGAACAAAACATGTTTCAATCCTCACATAAACCCTAACGTTTTTCTTTAGCCAACAAAACTTAGATCCTAACATTTTCCTTTTGTTAAATTAAAATAGAAAGAAAAACCCAAAAATTTGAACAAAGTTAAAGGTCTTCAGTGGAGTTTCAGTGAGGAAAGAGAGTGAGGGACTGAGTTTCAATGGTATTTTAGTGGAGTTTCAAATCTTTCAGTGGAGTTTTAGTGAGACAGTGAGGATAGAGAGAGCGAAAGGGGGTGGCGTAAAGATACAGAGGAACATTTGGGTTAGGGTTTGTGAAATTAGGGAGGCCTTTTATATTTTTTTTAAAAAAAATTTAATAATTTTTAGAAATAATTTGAAATATATAAACGTACTACTATAAGGTTAAAAAAAATCTGAAAAAAATAAATTATATGTATACATAAATGTATTCGGGTGGATGACGGGTCGGGTGATAAACGGATGACGGATGTAATGGAGCCCCACTCGAATCTGACCCGATCCGTCACCCGCCCTTCATCCGTTTAACGCGGATTTTTGTCCATTTATTTATATCGGGTGGATCGAATTTGCAGATATCCATTTAGAATCGCTATCCCTAAGGTGGGGATTAGAACTTGTAAAATCAAGAGAGTCAATCTATTGAAATCCTCTTGCAATCTATGCAAGAAAATAGCCAAAGTACAAATGATTTTTGGTATGTTAAAAAAAAAGAAAAAACATATATGGACAAGGGCTTGAGACATAGTTGGGCCAAACTTGGGTCCGATTACAATAATGTACGTGCATGCTAGATTAGAAGGAAATGAAGCAAACAATTCAAGAATGCATCGTTGATTCTGTTAAATATGGGTCTGGGTCGCACCTGCAAATCAAGAGAGAGTCCATTTCACAAGACCAAAAGAGGTTTTATCCCAAAACCATATGGCAATAGGAGGAGTAGTCCTTTAGCCTTATAAATTGTTTGACTCTCTCAACTTTTATCAATGCGGGACGCTTAGATGTGTTATTTGGTAGGATATATACTTTAACACCCCCCCCCCCCACACATATAAGGTCCCTTTAACTCAAGGATCACATGATTCAATTCATTTTGGCCCAGAATACTTAATGCATTAAAGGTTCCAAACCATGGGCCTGGCAATATACTCAAATCCATTAAAGGTCCCAAATCATGGGCCTGACTCTGATACCATGTTAAATACGGGTGTGGGCCGCATCCGCAAACCAAGAGAGAGTCCATTTCACAAGTTCAAAAGAGGTTCCATCCCAAAACCATAGTCTCTTAGCCTTATAAAGTGATTAACTTTCTCTTCTTCAATCAATGTAGGACATTTATATGTGGTGATATTTGAGAAGTCTATTTTTCAACAGATTCACTGATTCTTAAGCAAAATTATGCATTGTTGCTTGTGTATGTGGTTGGGCCACTAGGCTTTTTGGCAAGGTTAGATTTCCTTCTTGTTTGATTTGTCACTAAGAATTATAGAGTACTATGTTGTCTACTTGTCTATGTATATTGTATTCCTATATGTTACTCATATATGATTTGGCCATAAATATTGTACCATCATGACGATTGAGGTTAGTCAATTAAAGTCCTTCACTTACTAATTACTAATTTACTATACCCAGGGGCGATTCTGGGCCGGAGCGAGGTGGTCGACAGAACAGGGCACTCAAATTTGAGGGGCTCCAAAATCTAGATATATGTAATTAAGTTTGGTATAATATCGTGAAATTGCAGTTGGAGTAGTGTATACAAGATCTTGGGTTCGAGCCATGCATGATACAATTTTTTAATTTTTTTGGGAGCTGGACAGCTGGCATTGAATGTACCATTCCTCTAGAAACCTCCAAATACATTGAATGTACCCTCCCTCTAGAAACCTCCACCCAAACCAGCAAACCCATTCTAATTCCCAAAATTTTTTCCCAAAAATTCAGATATCTTTCTTCCCAAAATTTTTTCAATCTACCATTCTAATTCCCAAAAAAAAAACTCTATATCTTCCAAAACTCTATAATTTCTTATTTACTTTCTTTTATTATCTTCATTTTCTTCAATTATTCAATTAATTTTCAAATTTTTTCATCTCCCAAAATTATTTTTCCCATATTAATTCATAATTTCAACGGTTAAATCTTCAATTTTAAGATGAAATTAATTATTAAACCGTTGTTAATCTCCCAAATTTTCCTATATATGCATTTTATTCACTCTTTCAATTTTACAAATAAAAAAGAAATCTTTAAGATAATCTTAATTCCAAAATTCTTTGCAAGTATTGTGAGTATAGGCTATAGCTAGTAATCGGAAAAAATTTCATCACGAACCTCTTCGGATTCAACACCGGATACGACTTTTTGTTAAATTTTAATATTTGGGTATGTTGAATTATTTCCTGTTGTTTAATTTAAGTGTATTTTTCTGATTTTTATTAATTTTTTTTTGTTGAATTTTGTGGGTGGGAGTAGAAGTTGAACAATCGACGCTTTTGTCATTGGTGAAGACTTTTGATTCGACTCTTGCTGTGTACGAAGGCTTCCGCAATTTAAAACAGGTTAACAGTTTTAATTTTTTTGTTTTTATTTACTTTTTTTTTTCTTGGGAATTTTTAGTGCATTATTGTCGAATTTGAGGTTAATAATTCCATTGAATTTTGTTGAAGTTGAAATGGCTCGTGTAGTTTACTGTGGAATTTGTTGTTTATTTTTTCATTTGCTCATTTAATTTTATTTTATATTACTGATAGGTTTTTTTATTTTTTTTATTTTTTTTTACACAGATTACAGAGATTGATGATGGAATATTGGATTATACATAGCAATTAGCGATCTTGGATCTGTCGAATTCAATCGTTGGCTTATTATAAGCTATTTCTGGTGATATTTTTCCTCTCTATCAAATATTTTGTGCAATTGTATTTAATATGTTTCGAAAGTATCCATCTGGACATGAAAAACGGAATAAAAAAAAAGAAGGAAGATCAATTCATTCAATCACAAAAAGGTGCTTTAGATAAGGTTTTTTTTAAAGTGCCACAATCAAGTGAAAATCTTATTGACTCAGAGTTGTTAGATGAAAATAATGTTGGTGGTGATAATGTTAATGTTGATAATGATAATGTAGATGCGAATAATGCCAATGTTAATGTTGATGATAATAATATTAATGTTGAGCGAGAAGATGTGAATCTGAATAATGTAGATGATTTTGAACAAAATGTGGAAGAAAATTCAGACCATAATATTCACAATGTTGAAGAAAATGATTTTGTTTCTCATGATATATATGTTCCATCCAAGGATATGGGGAGCTCTTGATCAAAAATCGATTGATATTTTGGCTATCAATGGCCCTAAAAGAGACTTAACCATAGTGAAAGGCCCTAAAGACAAAGTATCTAGGAGATTTACTTCAAATTTGTATGTTAGATATTTGCCTAATGGTGAAACATATGATAGAGATTGGCTTGTTTATTTTAAGAAATTGACAAAGTATTTTGTTTTTGCTGTAAAATCTTCCAAAAGGGTCATGGAAAAGGCAATTTGGTTAATGAAGGATATAATGATTGGTCACATATTAGTCATAGACTTAAAGAACATGAAACAAGTGTTGATCACGTTTTTAACATGGCTGCTTGGTGTGAACTAAGAAATAGATTGAAAAATCATGAAACAATAGACAAAGTTGCCCAAGACCAATTTCAAAAAGAAAAAGAGTATTGGAAAAGTGTCATTATTAATTAGAATAATTGCTATTGTGAAGTTTCTTGGTAAAAATAACCTTGCATTTCGTGGGAAACACGAAAGGTTATATCAAAGTAGCAATGGAAATTTTTTAGGTCTGATTGAAATGTTGGCTGAGTTTGATCCTGTGATTATTGAGCATGTTCATCATATTGAGAATGGAATTATTCATCATCATTATCTTAGCCATGATATTCAGAATGAATAGGTATTCTTACTTGCTTCTAAAATCAATGATGCTATTATGAAAAAAATAAAAGAAGTTGATGTTGGATTATACACCTGATGCTAGTCATCAAGAACAAATGACATTAATTTTAAGGTGTGTTGATAAATGTTCAAATTCTTATAAAGTTAAAGAATTTTTCATTGAGTTATTACAAGTTAATGATACTACTGGTCTAGGATTGTTTAAAGTGTCTGAGAATGTGTTAGTAGCTCATGATCTTGACATAGATAATATCAGGGGACAAGGATATGATAATGGTTCTAACATGAAAGGTAAACATCAAGGTGTGCAAAAGAGACTATTGGATTTGAATCCTAGAACTTTTTATTCTCCATGTGGCTGTCATAGTCTTAATTTAGTTTTGTGTGACATTGCAAATGCTTCACCTAAAGCAAGGGAATTCTTTCGAATAGTCCAACACATTTATACTATATTTGTTAGTTCTACCAAGAGATGGAATATTTTAAAAGAAAATGTTAAAGGTTTAACTCTTAAATCATTATCTGCCACTCGATAAAAAGTCGTGTTGAAAGTATCAAAGCAATTAGATTTCAAATAATTGAGATACGTGAAGCATTACTTGAAGTAGCTGAAGTAGCTAATGCTGACAATTACCATAAACTTCAAAGTGAAGCTAGATCTTTAGCAAATAATGAGCTTGGTAGTTTTGAATTTTTGCTTGCTACAATCATTTGGTATGAAATTTTATGTGTTGTAAACTTTGTTAGTAAACAATTACAATCCCAGGATATGCTGATTGATATTGCCATTAGTGAGATTAAAGGATTGATTTCCTTTTTTAAAAAATATAGAGAGAATGGTTTTTCAAAGGCCATGGATATTGCAAAAAAAATTAGCTATTGAAATTGGAATCGATCCTATATTTCCTCAAAGACGTATAATACTTAGAAAAAGACAATTTGATGAAATAGATGGTGATGAAACACTATTATCTCCTAAGGAATCATTTAGAATCCAATATTTTATATACATTGTGGATCAAACTATTGCATCATTGGAAAAAAGGTTTGAACAATATGAATCGCATGAGAATATCTTTGGCTTTTTGTTCAATTCTGATAAATTGCATGCAATGGATGATGAGAAACTTTTATCTTGTTGTTTTAATTTTGAAAGTGCTCTTAAGAAAGGTGAGGTTTCTGATGTTGATGGAGAGGATTTATTTGTTGAGTTAACATGGTTTAGAGAGTTTTAACCCAAGGAGAAAATGAGAGCAATATTGATTTATTAAATTTTTTAAAACGATATACTTGCTTCCCAAATGCAACAACTGCATATAGGATATTATTAACAATTCCTGCAACTGTTGCTTCTGCAGAACGGAGTTTTCAAAGTTAAAGTTGCTGAAATCGTACTTAAGGAAGACCATGTCACAAGAAAGATTAAATGGACTCGTTTTGATGGCAATTGAATCTGATCTTTTAGATGAAGTCGATATAGAGAATGTCATCGATGATTTTGCTACAAAACATGCAAAAAGAGCTACTCTTTTTAAGTGATTTCTTGGATTTTAATTTAATTTTGACGAATTTTCTGATGTAATGAATTCTTTTATCAAATAAAAATTGGGTATTAAATTTATTGAGTAAAAGGCCCCATTTTGAAAAGTTGAACAGGATCCCATAAATAATTTGCAATTTTAGCCCCGGCACTGACTATACCTTTGACAACATGGTCATTTCATTCTTTTTTACTTGCATTATTTATACATTTATATAATCTACAAGTTCAATTTTGATCATATTGTAATTTAAAATATAGAATGAAATCAAAGTTACATAGGATCTTAAATATTGCTACATCACTAACTCCCTTGGTCCCTCCTTGACCAATCGCTAGGAGAGTTTATCATTAGATCCCTATATTTCACTCTTGATATTGTTTCAAGTTTCAACTCTCACATTTGACTTTATCAAGAGTTGTATTGAGAGAGCACATATTTTTGGAGATTAACATGTGGGATTAGCAACAAATTAGAGAGAAATTGTCAAAACCATATCAACGAAATTGAAATGGAGCAATATTAATATTCAAATGGACGAACAAAAAATAAAATTTGGGTATATCTTTCAAAGACACATAGAGTACCACAAAGCAATCATACTAGAAACACTACTCTGAAATAATAGAGGGAATTATAATACAAGTACTTATTTAGTGAAATTATTTTCTCTTGAAAATAAGCATTCTGTTGAAAATAAATGTACAACCCTTTTCTGGTAGTAGAAGTTATGATGGTTGTTGGCAATCCTTCCTAAAAGGAGAGGATTGTGTCATTTATTATGCTATAAAGGTAACTTAACAGTTTTGGTATGGATGCTAAATTTTGGAGTTTTAAGTATACTTTGTTCTGCACTATGAATTGCATCATGTTGTATACATTACTAGATATTTCATAAGCTCTAAATTAGGCTACATTAGAGGAGATAAAGAATTCATCCCTAGGATTTTTTTTATGAACATGAATTGTACTCTTCATATTTACTTAAAGCAGGTACTCACCACATGCGTGGCAGATTGGTAGTGGGTCGTTAGGACTATGCCATGGCCTCTAGGTTGTGGCATGATTCGTGAAGGTTGTATCGTGTTGTATTGTGTCATGACTTATGTCTTGCCAAGTGGATGTGCCATCCCTTAAGCTACTCTGTATTTTGTTCACCGGTTTTTTTTGTTTTTTTTTTTTAAAAAAAAAAAAATAGAGCGATTTTGACCTCTTTCCGAACCGTGCCTACATCTTACTACCGTGCTAGGTGGACCTGTGACTTTCCTCCGCCAACCTGGCTCGCTTACACAACTACACAAGTTCGCCTAGCTAATAATTTGTGCTTAGTACTTGCTGAAATTATATGCTATGTATAGATGAATACAAGTACCAAATTACGAAGCATACAAGTATATTCTTCGCCACTACAACTCTACAACAAATTGAATAATGCAAGTTTGATTTAATTTGTTGATATAAATGATATGCTCTTTGAACCGTACCCATGCAGAATATACTTCAATTCGTACATACATTTGAGTGACCTTTTGTTACGGGAATGGACGTCCTTAATCAATTGGCCACATCTCTCTTTTTAATCGACTATACTTCTCATTTTGATTTTACCACCCGGCCTATCCCTCCGGCCCCAACCAAAACAAAAAATGAGAACATTAAACGCTCAAAAAGAAGATAGAATATAAAATATTTCAAACACTTCAAATATCAATTTAAACTTTTAATTGAGTTGGTATATTCTCTATCAAGTTTATAACACAATACAACATTAACCACAATACCATATACAATCAATACGCTACTGCGCTACATATCCCATTTCGGCTATCTAAATTCATGATTTTATTTCTTCTCTACAACTAATACAAAGTAATATTTTGCAATTAACGTACAATTCACACTTAAAACTTCAAGATGAGGATTATTCTAAAATTACAAAGAGAACAAATACATTAGGATATATATTAAATTATACAAAAAATAAAAAGAAAAAAAACTACGTAACATTAATTAGTTAAAATGAAATGCATGAGAATATTACAAGTATTAATTTAAGTTAATTACCATAAGATTTAAGGGTGGCACCACAAAATGAGCAAATAATAGCTTTCCAATACTTGAAATAGAAAGGGACGAAACAAAATCGGGTGGCCGTCTTCATATCCGCCACTCTCGCCGCCGCACCACACCGCGAACACATCCCCGCAACCGGCCTTTGGCTTTGCATTTCCCTCTTTTGGTCCACTAAAAAACATGAAAACTCCATTTTTCTTATGACTTGTTAAATAAAGTACAAGTTCTTTTGCTACTCTCTTTTATCTTGTACTAGTATTTTGTTTTAGCTTATTAAACTACTGTAAATTTGGTTGTATATTTGGAGTGTCCTAGTAAAAAGCATTTGTTTATAGGAGTTATTATCACGTTACCTCCTTGGGGGTGGGGACGTGGGGTATAATGTATGATTTTTCTAGGTAAAAGTTTGTTTGATGAGATGTATGAACTATTCAAGATTAGTTTCCATTAGAATTTGTAAGCTTTATCTAGTTTTGAAGTTTGAGGAGATAAGAATGTATCAAGGAGGTATTGTAGTGTAGCTAGTGGTATAGATTGTGATAACTATGAGTCTATGATGACACCTTCTAGAAGGTCGATTTTAATCTCGACGTTTTATTTTTGCTGAATTTAACTTATTTTTGCTGAATTTAACTTATTAGCTCTGTTTAACTTATTTCCTTCTTAATTTGTTTTTATTTTTTTTGTACTTGAATATAAAAAAAAAATATTATTTTTACCGAAGGTAACTACAAAATACAATTACAAGGTTTAACCGTCAGCTTGAATCCTAATGTTAAAACAAGGGTAGAACGAATCCAAGGGTGTTTGATGATGTAATTGGGCCTCTTGGTGGTCCTTGAGAAAAGACAACCCAAAATAGGACATGTATATATAAAAAAGATGATCTAGAAAGTTTCCTTAACCTAGAGGAAGAATGAATTATGCAAATTTCCTCCTTATTATCATGAAAATGTAATTTCTTTGTTGTTGTAAACCAATTTAATTTTCACTTTTAATTATACTTGCCTCAAAGTACAAATTTCTAGTATATATGTTCATATGACCAATATTGTGCATGTATAATACAAATGACAAATACTTTTGTAGTGACCTATTTTAATTCGAATGACTTTATTTAACGATCATAAATCGTTAAACTTTCAGTATTTTCATGTGATTTTTGACAATAACTGATTAAGAATTGATCGATAAACAAGATAAGTTAATCCAAACTACATATGTCCCTATCCTATTTTGGATAGGTGGTAGCTATGGTAAGGTAGACAAAGGAATTGAAAGAGAGGAAGAAAGTAGAGGATAGGCAACAAAGCAAAATCACAAGGAGTAGAATATAGAGCAACTACGAATTTTCCTACTTCATTGTCTTGTAGGGAATCCAATAATTACATATTTACATTATATCGTGTTAACATTAGAAGGTGTGAATGTTATGGTCAAATCTTAATAACAACATAGTTTTAATAGGTCAATATGTGCAATTGTGCATCAAGACCTCCCATAAAACTCTTGATTTTGAACTACGATAAATTATTGTAATTCCGTCTCATATAATATATGATGAAATATTAAAAGAAGCTCATAAACCCATTGTACTTGAATGTTACATATAATCTTATTAGGATGACATAAAAAGAAAGATAATACGAGTACCACTCTAAAACAGCTAACTATGCTTCAAAGTTTGCATGAAAATAATTAATTTATTACAAAAAGAGAGTGAAATAATGAAATACTAGCCAAGTTGGCCATATCTTTTCATTAGTGAAATAATTAATGAAAGAAGGTCGATGCAACTGCACAAAACTTGTTGGCGGCAAATTCAGTTTGGGTTTGCAGTTAACAGTTTCCTCTCTCGGGAACTGGCACGTGACCTCAACACTTTGGAGCTCTATCTCTGTACTGTAGCTAGTTTATCGTACGACTCTCGGAAGGAAAAAAAAAAAAAAAACAGAAAAAAAAAAAAGAAAAGTTGAAGCATTACTGAAGCAATTAATACAACAACTTAGACATTAATTGAATGTCACCCTTTTAACTTACAACTGTATAAAGCTAGGTGGTATCGCGGTTTGTAACAATTGTATGAAAGTCTAGTCTTTTTCTCTAAGTTTTATCACGACTAAAACATATCTGTGCTATTGTGTTTATGCACAAGGACGACAAGGTATATTAATTTGGTACATTTTCGATTTTTATTATTAATAAAAATTTTCTAGTAGTGGAACTATGGAGGTTATTGAATACCAGAATATGTTTGAGAGTTAATAAAAGTTGATCGAGTATTAAAAGTTTGGAGGTCTTAGTTGAATTTGAAAAATTGACTCCTCGACATTCGATAAAAGATCACATAGTTATTATTATTATTTTTTTTTGAAGAAATCACGAAGTTATTAAAATTTAAATAAAGAATAAATTTTACGATTTTTTATTATTATTTTTTTTTATAGGTACAAAACAAAAGATGAGCAATAACCCATGGTTTAGTCGAGTATTTTTCCTTCCAAGATATATATATATTGAAAATCCTTATATATATGTGATAACATATATATTGAAAATCCTTGTTAATTCAAACTTAATTATGTCATTGTCGAAGATGACACGTACGTTTATTGTACAACCAATTAAGCAGGAACTAGAAATAGTTCCTAACATTCATAATAATTTATCGAATTGTAACATGTTATGTCATTAATTAACTTTGTACATAATGAATTAATACCTGAGGCGTATTTAAGAAACTGTAACCAGGACACAATATTACACTTTATGTTAAAACTTCACTTTCACCATTAAAAGAGCTTAGAACTCAGAAGAATTTGTACAAAGGTTTCGATGAAGAAGGAGGAAAAATCAAAGAGAATTAGTTGAGAGTAATTACAATGAATTTATTACAGCTTTGCATGACTTAAATAGTCAGCATTTAATAAAGAAAGCAAAGCAAGAAAATACAGCTGGAAATTATAATATAATAGAATTCTGTTAGGCTATTTTGGGTTGAAGACGAGCTGGACTTCCATGCTGTGAGCTGGGCTCATCACTATTCTCAACACCCCCCCCCCCCCCCCGCAAGCTGGACTGTGGAATGAACAGGCCAAGCTTGGACAACAACTCTGCAAACTGAGCTGAAGGAAGGATCTTTGTAAAAATATCAGCAAGCTGTGATTTTGTTGGCAAGTAAGTCAACTGAATTAGCCCTTCAAGAAATCTTTCCCTAGTAAAGTGACAATCAATGTCTATGTGCTTGGTGCGCTCATGGAAGACAGGGTTCTTGGCTATATGAACAGCAGACTAGTTGTCACAATGAAGTGTGACAGGTTGCAAATTAGAACACCAAGTTCAGACAGCAACCTAACTACCCAAGTAACTTCAGCAGCAGCAGAGGCCATTGCCCTATACTCTGATTCTGAGGATGATTTAGACATTGTTGGTTGTTTCTTGGACTTCCAACTGATGGGAGAAGAACCAAGTAGCAACACATAACCAGAAATACTTTTCCTGGAATCAGAGCATGATGCCCAATCAGAATCAATTAATGCCTGCAAAGTAAGAGCATCAGAACCTTTTAACAAAATCCCCTGTCCTGTAGTGTGAGCCACATATCTAAGAGTATGTTGAAGAGCTTCCATATGAGTTGTTCTTGGATTTTGCATGAACTGGCTCAAAGTCTGAACACTGTAAGAAAGATCTGGCCTGGTGTTTGTTAAGAAGTTTAGTTTTCCAACCAAACTTCTGTAAAGAGTAACATCAGAAAGCAACACTCCATCATCAGTTGCAAGTTTTTGATGTTGAGGCAAAGGAGTAACTGCACTTTTTCTCAAAGGAAAATTACACTCAGCAAAAGTTCTCGAGTAAACTTCTTTTGAGTTAAGGGAAAACCATCTGGCATATAACTGACCTCAATTCCCAGGAAAAAAACTTAGCTTGCCCAAGTCTTTAATGCTGAAAATCTTGTCTAAATGAAACTTGAGATCAGATATTGTATCAACACCATCCCCTGTCAAGATAATATCATCCATATATATGGCTGCAATTATGACCTTCCCAACAACTCTCTTTATAAACAATGATGCATCACTATGAGACTGAGAGAACCCAAGCTTTCTCAGTTCAACAACCAACCTAGCAAACCACTGTCTGGAAGCTTGTTTTAAGCCATATAAGGATTTCTTCAGCTTGCAGATCTTACTAGGAAGACCATTCATTTCTTCAGGAAGAGTCATGTATATTTCTTCATTGAGTTCTCCATGTAGAAAAGCATCATTTACATCTAATTGATGCATATCCCATTTCTTGCAAGCTGCCAAAGCTGTAACACATCTGATTGTAGTCATTTTGACTATAGGGGAAAAAGTCTCCTCATAACCAATACCAAACTTTTGTGTGTAGCCCTTTGCAACTAATCTGGCCTTGTATCTTTCTATTGATCCATCTGCCCTAAGCTTGATCTTGAAGACCCATTTGCAACCAATAGCCTTCTTACCAGGAGGTAGATCAACAATGTCCCATGTTTTATTCTTTTCCAAGGGCTTCTATCTCTTTTTTTGTAGCAGAAATCCACTCAGGATGTTTGGCAACAACTTTTTATGTAGTTGGCTCAGACAGAGAAGATGACTGAGCTATCAAGGGTTTATGAGAACAAGGTATGTCAGAGTAGAAAACCAAGTTACACCAATGAGAAGATGATTTGGTGGGAAGTTTACAAACATAATATTTCATCCACTTAGGAGGCTCTCTTGGTCTTGAAGATTGTCTTTGCTCCAAAATTGGCTCAGAGTGTAATGTGTCTAGAATGTCAGTAATCTCTGAATTTGGAATGATTGGATAAGGTAAAGAAGAAGAATTGGTGGTGTTGAAAGAATTAGACATTGAACTAGAGGGAAAATAATTAGAAAAATGAGAGGAAGTAGAAATATTTATAGGAGAATAATTAGGATTAGGATTGGGTGTGGATTGTCTGGAATTAATATTAGTTGTGGTTTTATGAACAGGATATCCTTCTGTACAGTCTACAAAAGGATCAATGAAAATATGATTGTTGTTTTCATTAGGTAGAAAAAATTAAAAAGGAGGTTTGTCTGTATTGAGAACATGAAAAAGGAAATGTTGTTCATAAAAATGAACATCTCTAGTAACTGAAATGTGTTTGTCACCTAAATAAAGAACTCTGTATCCTTTTGTGTAGGTGAGTATCCAATAAAAACACATGGATCTGCTCCTGGATCAAATTTTGTCCTGCCCACTTTGTTAGTAGAAACTAACATAGACAGCCAAAAGATCTAAAATGTGAAATATCAGGTGGCCTATCAAAAAGTTTCTGATAAGGA